ATGCCAATGGTTGCCAGGAGTTGTTAACCCATTGTTGTAAGACTCCTCCGATTGCTGAGTCGGATGCGTCTACTGCGATGCTAATGGGTGCTTGAGTGTCCTGATGTGCAAGCATTGCTGCCTTAGCTATAAGTTTCTAAATTGTGGAGAATGCTTTTCGTACGGTGTCGTCCAAATTAATGGATTTCGCATTTCCACAAAGGTGGTCGGTAAGAGTTTTCATGAGTAAGGCGCATTTAGGTATGAATCGTCTATAGAAACTTACAGGGCCGTTAAACGTTCGTAGTTGCTTGATCGTGGTCGGTTCTGGATAATCCAGAATTGACACCACTTCGGTCCTAAGGGGCCGAATGCCTTGAGCATCTATAGTGTGTCCTAAGAATTCTAATGAGTCAGCTGCGATTTAGCATTTCTGAACGTTTACAGTAATGTCACGTTTTTGTAGTCGTTCGCAAACAAGATCCATATGCTTGAGATTTGATGCTCTGTCCGAACTTGCGATTAGGCAGTCGTCAAAACACGCGTGTACGAAGTTGAGACCTCAGAAAACGTCGTCTATGAATCTTAGGAATGTTTGAGCAGCGTTTCTTAGAACGAAAAACATTCGCAAAAATTCATAGAGTCTGAAGGGAGTAATGATGGCGGTTTTTGGAATTTCGTCTGTGGCCTTGGGGATTCGGTTGTATGCTTTAACCAAGTAGATTTTCAAAAAGACAGTTGTACCTTTCAAGGTAGCTGTCGAATCGTTAATGTGGGGCAACGGGTAACAATCGGGAATGGTTTTTGCATTCAATCGCCGATAGTCACCAGTTGGACGCCAATCGTTGCTGTCCGTTTTAGGGACCATGTGCAACGGAGATGCATATGGCCTATTTGACGGTCGTATGATTCCTAGGTCTATCAAGTGATCGAACTCGTTTTTCGCCAACCTTAGCTTTTTTGGGGGCTAGTTGTCGTGCTTTAGAGAATACAGGTGGTCCTATAGTCGTGATGTGATGTGTAACGTTGCTGGTTACACGCGGTAGTGTCACTTGCGTTTGTTGTATCCCAGGATACTTATCGAGCAAAGGTTAATAAAGTGGATCTATCTTATGCTTAATTGTGACTGGGGATAATCTGCAAACAGAAAAAGAAGTTACGCAAACGGATAAATTCGTGTTTCCGTCTACTAGCCTCCGTTTTCGCATGTCGATGATCAGATTATGGTGTTGTAGAATATCCACACCAATGATTGGCATTGAAACATATGCAACAACGAAAATCCACTTAATGGGTTTGCGTAAACCCACGTTAAGATAAACGTACCTTTTGCCATACGTAGCGATAGGTTTTCCGTTTGATGCCTGTAAGTTTAAAGTAGATTCGTGAGAACGCTAACTTCTGCGCCAGTGTCGACGAGGTAGCGAACTCCTGTTGTCACATCTGTGACGTATAACAGACGGCTATGTTCGCTAGCTATGTTTGCCGTTAGCGCGTACCGGCTTGGAAGTTTCTCGAGTTGTTTTTCGAGCCAGTCGGTTTTGAGATGGGAAAATTGCAGGGTTTTCTGCAAATTCTGGAAGACTTTCCATACTGGATATGATACCAGCACCAGTCGGGGTTATCCGTCTCCCGTGGTCTAGAGACAGATCGCTTACGCGAAGTGCTTCTATGTGGGGTGCGTGATCGCTTACGGTCGTTACGAAACTTAAGATAACGATTTAGTGTATGACATAACTCGGTTATGTCATTCTGAGTCGTTTGAGGCTTTTATTTGACTGAAAATACCTTGGTAGTAGAAGATTTCGTTATTTCTAAGATACGATCGGCAGATGCAGCCAGCTAGTCTAAGGCGTTGTTCTGAAACGAGACCAGAATCGCTTGCACCTGTTTGGGAAGTTTAGACAAGAAACGTTATTTGAATAATCCTTCGTCGAAAGTTCTTAGGCCTATAACCTCTCTCATCCTTTGCAACATGTCCGTCGCAGAACTGTGTTGCAGGTCTATGTTATTAAAGAGCTGGTCTAACATTTGTCGATCGGTTAGGTCTCCTCATTTAAGAATCGAACGTTTTAAGGTTTCGTGAGGTTCTGAACCATCACTAGTAAACATACTAGGTGTTACGTACCTGTCGAACTCCCGCGGTAGTGCCTTGACTACTGCGAAGAATTGTGCACGTGTGTCGTTTACACCGTGCTCGTGGAAGTCGGCTTCTGCGTAACAGAACCAGGCTTCGATAATGTCGGACCAGAAGGGACGAGGGTGAGGAAATGTCTGTTCGGTCATAGGGGAATATTAAGTTCGAGAATACAAGGGATAAATATATATAGATATCCTGAGACACGGGAAAACATATCACAATTTATAAAAAATGAAAAATAAGGCAATCATATATAAAAATCTCAAAAAGGAACAGGCTCACAGTTGCAATTAGGTGTACCAGATCACGTCGGTCTCACCAATGAAGATGGCACAGGTATTCAGTGTTTGACAACGCTTTTACCAGCAACACCTTCTAATATAATATGTACCCACCCAGAGAAATCAAAGGACAGAGTCGAGGAGATCGGAAGAGTGTATTTGGCGATAACCAATATGTTGGATTTCTCTGATCTAATCTGGCTAGCGATTGCGGCAGATGTTGAGCACAGCGTTACCACACGTGGTCTGGTGCGGATGCATGACCGAGCGCCTTCAGCTAGATGAGTGCACTAAAACATATGGTCAGCATCCAATGCCGAAAACTCACAGAGCTATTTATTTTGAGGATTTATTTACCGCTACACTACATCAGTCTTTTCATGATCTCAGGCACGACATGCTTACGATTGTCAACTAGAAAAAATGTGAAGTGAGACTTACGTGCAGAATATCTTGCACCATACACAATCAAGACAAAGGGACTGTGAACTGAGAAGTCATCTTGTTGTGATAATACTGACTTCAACAACTTTAGGAAATTCACAGATACCTCATAAACTACGTTGCTTATCTATTTTCACTTTATTGAAATTCACGATAAATTTCAAAAGATTGGCCAAAAATATATCCTTTCCTCGATTGTCTGGAGAAAATATGGAGAGTTCCAATTCTCACACTCGTTATTAACTAGAGATCAAATATTTTGTACTGTAACTCACCAAAGTACGTGATCTGTGTTGATGATCTGTGGCATACTCCAGTTTGTCAGGAATAACATGATCATCCCTAACTCACTTTGAAATCACACCTCGAGGTTAGCACCAAACGTGAATTACTTTTCCGTCATGTCTAGGTACCATGGCTACTTTGATGACTGTATAATTAAAACGTAACGTCATTATAGAAATGTATTGTTAAGAATAGGTACAAAAACAGCGTGTGACCACTGCTGCATGGGCAAGTTCATAGCGTGCAACTGAATGATGAACGTTGATTTTACTTGGCTTTAACGAGAATCAGTAAACTATTCGACATTTAGAAGCCCGAATATAAAATGATTTGGCTAGGGCCCAGTGACATTTCATTCACCCTAAAGTATTCTTACCAGTACTAAAAAATGCTTGAATTTTGTGCTGATCGTCCCTGGTCTAAGAATATAAGTTATACAGCTTGGGATAGTTGTCAGTTTTTAGGTGCAAAATCCATGGATTTTAGCAAATCATTCGATAAGGTATTTCATGTAGCACGTAAAAACAAACCCTCGAATTTTGAAATCAGAAGCACAACACACTGTTGCATAGATAGAGTTCTGTGCAGTATAAGGAAGAGAATCAGAATAAAAGGGCTTAATTTGTAATAGAAATATACTATAATAGCACTCCATAAGATGTTGACTTAGATCATGTCATAAACTGAAAGTTGCCAAAGAGTCGCATTTCTACGGTCACTTACCAAAGCTTTTGAATTTTCTGACTGATAAACGTTCCAAAGTTTCATAAGCTACCAATATCACATCTAAGAAGCTAGCTTATGTTTAAGTGAATTATAGATCATCAATGTAGATTATCTATGCCGAATGATTGGTGGCCTACTAGTGTTAGACCGGAATGGTGTGCCAAACCAGCTACAGTTGAATCACAAATCGCGATCAGCACCTTACATCGATTATCCCATCGACGTATCAAGGTACTATAGATGTTTTGAAGGCTGTACAACACAAAGGACGTTATTACAGAAATATATTAGTTAAAGTAGATACAAGTGAAGGTAAGACCACTGCCTCATGGGCCAGTCCATGGCATACGATTAACTGATGCGCGTTGGTCGCCCTTGACATTGAAAGGGATCGATGATCGGTTTGATATTCAGTTACCCAACTGCCAGATTATTTACCAAGGTCCTAGTGACATTTCACTGGCCCTACAGGATTTTCAGGTCACTCCAAGATGATCTATAAACAGACACCAGGTTGCTAGCAGGAATTTATAATTTTTACATGGGATGAACATCTATATTTTACTTGTCGTATTATAGGAGGCCATCTTACGTTAGCCTACCACACATTGGATAACAATCGGAAAGTCAAGATTGTAACGGGTTAAACTATCCACTTACAGGTCCTATTCCATGAAAGTCTTAATCTGAGGCACGTGTTATTTCTAATTCTTGTTGATTGCTTTGAATGTTAAGTGTGGGTGTAATATATGTGCTTACTGGGTCGTCGACTGACCACTTTTTATTCTTCTTTGTTTAAGTCCTCCTCACTCACACACTGCATCTCCCAGTAGTACACAAATTTCCTTCTGGTTAGATGGGAACCATAACGATTTACATAATATTTCTCTTCCCATCAGAACTAAGACCTTTTGAAACTGTTTCTGAAACGTTTAAAAAGTATTTCTAAATAAGATTATATTTATATTCCGTATTTTCCATCCAGTGGTCAACATCTGAGTCGCTCGTCACCAAAAACAGATATCAGCCTCAACAATTATTGTCTTTAACGGAACAGTATATTTTCAAGGGTGAAAATGCTTAGAAGATTAGTAGACACTAACTGACCTACTATTACTGAAAACTGAGATGAAAGAAATTGGACATTGAAAGTGGCCTTTTCAAGTTGATTGTTACGTCGTAGCATCCGTAGATTTAGTAGGTCATTACTAAAAATTGCACTATCCGTCACTGATTATTAATTTGCCTTCTTTTATCATCTGCTTGCAATGGATAGAGAAAACAAAAGTAAATGATGGTCAAATGTGAGAAACAGCTATTTGCTTTAGAACAATAATGTTCATTGTTGTATACTCTGTTAATTTATTCACCACCGTATCCAGAAGACTGACGCATTACCAATAAAAAAAGTGTTAGATTAGTTTGGTAATATTATAAACATGTTGCGTAAGTCATATTTTGTCTTTAAAGGTTGTAATTAAATAAGGAATTCGGACGATTTACATTTAAAAAGGTTAGCCAGGTAGAAAAAGAAGTAAAAAACAATTAAAAGTACTACATAATTAAATGAACCTCATCGAAGTCTTGGCATTAAGCTTTGTTGACGGAGTACATGTATACAGCAAGAGTCGGCGTAAACGTTTAAAATGACATGGTCTACAAAATTTTATGTAAAGATATTTTGCACGGAATGGATATCTCATAATGATATTACTTAGTATTTAGAAAGCCAGTCACTTGGTGAAATACACCGAAATTAGTGATTTGTACATAAACATACGAAGTAACTTATGCCTGAATTTTCTTTTATTTCTGTCTCATGCTTGTTTACTTTACTTCTTGCACTACAAGATGACCTGGCTCTCATGGCCATTTGATGAATCGATTCGATATCTTTCTCAGGCAAAGAGTCACCTTGAAACCTGGAACACATCACATCTAACCAATAGTGTTTGATATACCTCTAACCTACTTCAAATCATTTTGCAAAATCTGTGATTGCCAATACTCAGCTCACTTTTTGTTCCATCTAGTGTTAAAGTTATTTCAAATGAGTCTGTCATTATGTTAGCCGAAATTAACTTTGCCGACTCACGAAGATCATTCTCAATGATCGCTGATATCCTTGTATCCTTAATCATACTTAACAACTGTTGCGACCTCCAAATTGATCACGGAATTTTTGATCTCCCAAAACAACTTCCAATGTACCTGGTTCTACAGGCGTCTGAGATGGAAACTGTGAAGGCCGAGAATCCACGTTTTATATGCTTTCTCCTTGACTTTAATGAATGAGATTTTAACGTAAGCCGTCACATTATTTTTCTGATTAGATAAATCTGCAATGCCTGGCATTGTTTTGTCAACATTTAGTTTCAAGGCCTGAAACCTCCGAGCATTAAAACGATACAACTTGCTTGTGATGACAAATTTCAGTTTTTGAAAACCTGATATATATGAATCTGTTAAATGAATAGATTGCGATTGTAATAAGATGCCCAAAAATTAAGCCTAATATTCATGTCTTAATTGGTTAGGTAATGAGTAACCTACACCTTAAATATTTGGTCGTGTTTATTTTGTATTCATATTCCGTATCTAAGCACGTCATTTTATCTCACGAAAATCTAATTTGGCTAGGGGTCTTTTATTTTTAATCATTCGGAGGCCTTAGTCATTAACAAGATCTCATGAATAGCCACCACTAGGCCACATCATGCCATTGTATTCATCTGTCAATCAAAATTTCATTCGTCAATTTTAAGAGTCTTAAATTTCGTCCCATTAAATCACCAAACACTTGCGTAATAGATCTATGTTAAACCCCTTCAAGATGTTAATTTATGAGAAATCTACAAAAGTACATCGAACCTTCAACTTCTCGGAAGTGTACACATCAACACTGTGCTTCTTTTTGCTTCTCTGTCAAACGTTTTTGTTGTATGCTATCATCATTTTACCTTATAAACTTTATTGGAAGATAACATCTTTGGCATTTTACCCGAGGATAGTATTACATCCAGCACTTGAACCCACAGCTGACTGGAAGTTATATGAAAGGATATTTTATTTTATCACAACTAACCACAACAGTTTAAAACCTTGGATTTTTTCAAAAAGCAGTCAGCATCGGGATTAATCCGACCCGTGATTTCTCCTGACGTCACATCCTCCTTGTATATAAATAATTTTTCGTTTAACAGTTAGTCGCTTGGGTGTTCGAGCACATCTTTCCTGTCGATGTCGTTGATAATAACACGGAGTTTGGATTGATGCTGAAGGAAAATGTAATTGTGTTATAAAACTTAACACCATTACATATGATAACTGGATAAATTCGTTGATAACTCTAACTTGTAAAATGTGCTGCCATGATCTAAAAGTTTGAACCAATGTGCAGACCTATTAAACTTAGAACTATTTCTCGCGGGAAACTTCTTGATAAGTGATATCATTGAATGAGCATAGACGTACGTTAGAATGAGATGATAACCTCGTAGTATTACGTTGACATTAAAATATACTTACAGTGTATATCCGTCGTAGAAATCCACGTTTGTGGCTAACTATTGAATATCTGAAGATACGTATACTTATGGTGATAGAAAACCAAGTTTCAATGCGATTCTGACGGATGTTGTAAGTGAGTTACAAGCGATGCTGGAAGTAGGCCTAAGTGTCTCAAAGTTTTAGATAAATCTTGGTGCTAATTTGACGACTATAGTTTGTAACATCCTCTTGTTCAAGTATTAAGTATGTCGTTGATCATAATTTAATAGCAGGTTGTGAATAGTGTTTAGTTTTAAACGAACTTTGCTTCATCTTCTTCTGTTTAGTACCATTAGCCTTTACTTAGAGTGTCTCATAACCCCCAAGTATCTGGTGAGTGAGCTAACCTGAAAAGGTTGTTTTAGGCTCTCACCTTATTACGCGCATAACCTTTGGAAATAGGAACTTACTAGAATCATCAGAAATTTCAAGGAAAACTCCCAGACTAGTAAAAATGGTGTGTCTTTTGTTGCATCGCCCAAATTTTCTAATATGACTCATGCAAAGTTTCCATAAAACTGGTCTAATCTTTCTCAAAGTTGGGATAGTGAGGCTTTTTTTTCAAACGTCAACCTCTAGGGAAAGTGTCAAACAATTTACATCTTTGTGTACTTCGAGTAGTCTACTTTTCGCTTGAAGTTTGATCTCATTATTTCCCTTTCTCTTAGATTTAGGCCAAATAGTTCAGTTTTTCTCTCCCTCAGAAACTAACTTTTCTTTGCAGTTAAAATAAGTTAGAAAAATGGTTTATGTGTGAAAATCCATTTATTTAAACAAATTTTAATAAGTTTACAAAAATACTAAAAACGGTAAGGTATTAGTGACATTCCTATTTTGCAACTGAAAATTATGGTTATTCTCAAATGAAATCTAAAACAAAGTAACAATTAGCAGTGTAGAGGTGGACTGTTTGACGTAAATAGTAATTAGAAATGTCTCATATTTTATACGGATCACCAACTAATACATACTTTTACCACTTATTCCTCATTTGTTTGGATGCAACACATCCAACTGAATATGTATAAGTATGTTTAAAAAGCATTTTACTTAGAAAATTTTAGATAATAGTTAAGAAACTTCAAAAACATAGACGTATAAATCACATATTGTCATTAAGGAGCATAATTTTCATCAGTGGAATTCTGAAGTGAAATAATAACTGTTGGTTATTGGAAGAAGAAGAAGGAATGTCTTTAAAATCTCGACTACGAAGATATGACACCATGTATTGAGACTTAGAGTAACCTTCAACAAAATTGGTGCGTGTATCTAGGAAACGGAAATAAAAAGTCAGTGCAAACTATTACCTTCATTTTTTCCCTATATCATGAAAGTAATGCAGGTTTACCATGTCGAAAACTGTCGCAAGACCTTTTTCACTGACACTGAGTGGTAAAAATCCTGATGTTTATCTCCCTATTGAATAAAGAACCAGTCTTATTTCTTATGTTGTTGTAAAACCTATACCTATGATGTCCCCGTTTGCTAATAGTCCTAAACAAAGTAAACTTGCAAGTTCTGTCTTCATGCTGTAGGCGAAAATATTTTGAATGAATGTTTTCTGGGGATTATTTGTGCGTAGGTTAACGATTGCCAGCTCATGTGTTAAAGAATTCTAAAAAATATTTAGTTGACAAATTTATTATTCTAGTCTTCTTATCGAAGGTATATGTCCGACTCTCTCAGCTCCTCTTCCGTTGAGAGGGGATTGGTAATGCAATAATTCTGCATCCAACTTATTGAACATGCTACCAAAGCGTGACCGCCTAAAGTAAAATTAGTTTGCATTAGGTAATTATCTAGTATTCATGTTCGTGAATGTTTTATCTACAGTGGTAATCTAATTAAATACACATTTTATCTTTGCTTTCAGAAATCTAGGTTTCGAATGAATCATAACCAGTTTAAATTTGACTTTCCAATAGAACAAGTTTTGGAAGAATGGAAGACACTAGATGAAAATGAAGACATACCGGCTGAAGATCAGGAGAACGATAACGATGAATCGAATATTCTTAGTCAAGAATCCTTTTTTGCTCCTCACTATAAAGATGGTATTGAATATTTTTCCATAAAAAACCCTGAAAAAGTAAAGCAAGAGTGGCTTGAAGCTAGAAAATTAATTATACCACATATTCAGAACGTTGTAAAGCATCTAGTTCGAGAAAAATTTCAAAATTGATTGGATATATGAGAAATTCTGTCCCTGCATTTTAATTTTACTATTCACTGTTAATTATGTCATTTGAGTGGGTTTTGAATATAGATGCATAAGAAGAAGAACCTTTTGGATACATTTTTGCTCAGGATCACTTGGTAGTGCTTCATGATTTGATTCTTGACATGTCCCATTCTATATTCATTTCATGTTAGCTGTAGATTTTATGCCTATCATTGTCACCTATATTATAGTCATGTGTTTATTTCACCTTATAACTCGTTTATACCCCGTTTAAACAGTCGTTAGTCGTCAGATGGTTTTTTTCAGTCTTGGTGGTTAACTGACTCGTTTTCTAATCAGTTGGTTGTTTATTTGGATTTTTCTTGAACTACTTTGGCTTGATTGACTTGGTTGTCTCATTAAATTTCACACAAAGTGTGCCTTTAAGAACAGTATAAGAACTGGCACCTAGTTTGCTTTTCAGAGGTTGTTACTGAATGTGAAATCAGACGCGGTTGTTGTGAGATCACTCATGCTTTTTCAGATCACTGTCTTCAATTTTTGACACTTAAACAGACTAAACAACGGATAAACGTTACTGAAACATTAGAAGGTTTCATTTTAATGTTATTTGTGCTTCAAGAAATTGTGTTCATGACTCCGACAAAGTAATTTTTAAGGTCCGCACTGTTATGTTTAACCATTATAAGATCAGGTTTCTCAAAATCTTGGAACACCGACTTTAGTGGTTCAGATGCGACCTACATATCAACTCAAAACCTAAGGAAATAGGCTGTCAATCCCCTGCACAGCCAAGTGGAATAAATGGTATCTCCGTTGAATTAAGACATAAAGGTACATTGTCTCTCCCTTGAACTTGGTCCTACAGGCTGTGCAACGCAATTTGCGATGTTATCAGACATATCTCAAAACAACAGCTAACAGAGATACTGTTGTATTTCTTGTGAACAGCGAAACGCAACTAACTAAACTAAATTTATATTGATTGTCCTTGATTAAGTTGTATCTATTGACATTTTCATTTGTTTAAATGTCCTCTCTTCCATTTTTCACTAAATTGTTATCAAATTTTATGTAGTCTATACCCTATTGATTATATCCGAAGGTCTTTCTGTCTTAAAATTAAGGTGGAATTTATCACCTTTATTTTTGATGTGAAAAGCTTACGTACGTATTCTATAAAAGTACAGTATAAATATGACCCAAATAAAAAAATACTTTCATATTTCTGGTTTAAACTAGTATATGGCACGCCTTACTAACAAATTTATAATGGTTCAAATATGTTACTGGCATAGTATTTGATTTGTAAACTATTGTAATTGATTATGAAAGACACTTGTTTTGCATATAATCAATGTCTGCACATACTAAATCTACAATGTGTTCGAAAGCCAAGCTTGTTCAGTAGATAACAGTGTTTTCTTTAAGAACATAACGCGTAACATACAAAAGCAATAGCGAAATTATTTTTTATGCCAATAATCCGACTTCAGTGATCAAATCTAACTCGAAATACGTACTATCTCCACATAATTGTTTGAGCTACTCAAAAGGATACATACTCATTTAGTCAAATCGTCTGGATGCTTTAAGTTGACTGAAAAGTTCCTAGTAAGTGATTCATATTCTCTCCGATCAGTACAGCTATGAGAAACTTGTTACCTATTACTTGCTCCCAGCTGAAACAGTAATTTTCCATAAATTCTCTTAAGGTTCCATAAGTTCGTGTACACAAACCTAAAGAACTTGAAAAAGTAAAACACAATACTTTCATAGGCGTAGGATAAACACATTCTGCTGTTTTACTCTATTAATATGTAATATAAAGTACTTTTTTTGTCAGCACTTACAGTTTCCAGACTATCCTTGTTAAATACTGTGAAAAATGTCGAAAATTCTATAATAAACCCACTACTGAACCCATTCACTTTGATGTGTAAGTAGTTCTTCTAATGTTTTGTCACTGACTTTAATTCAGAGTAACCGTCCATACGTATACTAACAGATTCCATCAATCGAACTGGACTACCTTTGAAAGAAGAACTAACCAAAAATTGACTTTTCGTCATAAACACCCATTTTATCATCTATGATTTCACTACTTGAGATTTAAATCATTCTTCGTTTTTGATGACAACCAAAATAGTCTACCGAGGTTCTGGAACATCCATTTCATCATCTAATGTACAGTGTTATGAACGATAAAGGGATATGACAATTAGCATACTCTAGAGACTCATATATTTGATTCACTATTTAACGAAAACACTTCAAATGTTATGCATTTGTAGAGGCTGGTACTATGTCGAACCACATGGGTTATTCTAGCCTCTAGATAGACTGATCTATTCGTTCCCCTCAAGCCACATTTTTACTTTGTCACTTATCCTCTTAATAATCCTGACTGTTTTTGTATGATCATATGTGTTAATTACTTACCCTATTCATTTGTCCGTAATTTATTTTTGCTTGACTGTAAATATCGAGTCATGCTTGATTAAGTTAAGTTGGTTCACCCTCCTCCACTGCGCATTACTACGTTTCATTTCGTATTGCTTCGCTCCCTTCACTCTGTTTCTCTGTTCAGATCAACGATTATTTGAAATATATGTATGCGAAATCCACTCTCATACTTGACTTATTTAATCCCTTATTCTCTAATGCAAATTACGTTGACAATTATATACGAGGGTAGCTAGCATGTATATTTCGATGACAATCATCATACGATATAACTAAAGTCAGATATCGGGCCAGTAAAGATTATAATTAATTCGATTGACGTTATCAAAAAACCCTACTATAAACGAACATTGGGTGACTGTATTTGAATCTATTTTTAATATGTTTGGCATTAGATTTGAAACTGACGTATGTAATTTATTCAGTAATGGTACTAATAAATCTCATTGTTAACAATATTTGGGGATGGTTTATTGGTTTCTAATTGGATTTTATCAACTACATGAATATTTTCGATAATGATAACTGTATTTTAAATAGCTTTCTTCATATCTATAATTTGACATTAAATTGAAAAATGACTCTGAAAGAATTAGGTCCCACAGTTTAAAAATTAGATCTGAAGACAAAAAATAGTGTAAAATCTAGCACAAATGTTTATCAGTCTAAGTTAACACCATTTTGTAACACGTTAACAGGGGCAGACAAGGGGATCGTAAACGTTTAGTCATGAGTTAATGTGACAGACCAATAAGAACTGTTGTGTGATTTTGGGGTGCTTAATTGTAACTTCAACTCTGCTTATAGCTCTTGTAAATTTACTGCCAGCCCCAAGCCCGGGTAAAGGAGGAGGGTTGGGAATGGGGGTAGCGACACCATCCCGTAGAAAACTAACTCGCTAACCACCATCAAGAAGGTACAAGTATTTACAAATAGCTGTCTACGCATGATGCTCAACATCCATTGGCCGGATACTATCAGCAACATCCTCCTGTGGTAGAAGATAAATCAGCTTCCAGCTGAAGAGGATATACATTACGCAAATCATCAAACTGCATCACGAGGCAATTCCTAACTTGGAGTCCTGAAGGGAAGCGGAAGGCCAAAGAACACATTACGTCGGGAAATAGAAGCAGACATGAAAAAGATGAATAACAACTGGAAAGGATTGCCCAGGACAGGATGGCGAATGCTGGTGAGCGGCCTATGCTCCTTCACGAGGAGTTACAGGCGTAAGTAAGTAATCGTAACTTCGTTGAGCATATTGTATGCATGGGTGTTTATTTCCATACAGTGCTAATTACCATTTCTATATTTATTAACAGCTAATAAAGCGAAGACATTTTTCTTCATGGCTCTACATTATATACATTTACGATTTACAACGAATTAGTGATATTCACTAAGTCTTTGTGTAGCGTAATAGTGGTTATAAAATAATGTTTTCATATGTGTAGACTTGTCGATTATTTACCGTTAACTTGGAGCACTTTTTAGTTGTGCTCGACTTATGTATATCCGTTATCTATACTTTAACTGTTTACCTGTAATTCACACACTAATGATCTTATGTAGTGACTAAGTTACCCACTGTCCACTGAATTGACTTATACAGCTTGCCCTATTTACATTAATTCAGTATCTATCATCCTTCGCTCAGTTTGCCTACTCATATAAATGCCTAAAATATACATGTCCGTATCCAGCTGTTTATTCCTACGCGATTGGTTGACAGAAGATATACAAAGTTAAGGATGAATGTATTTCGTGAACATCGTCATTGATTGATCATGAAGTCAACAATAGAGATGCAGTGATAAACCCGATTTCAAACAGATGCAGATGACATACTCACCGAATTTGATGCAGAAAAAGAATCCAATCCAGCACACATAAATACACTCAAGTCGAATTGTTCAAACTACGTGCCGGTTACTTCTATTCGTTAATTTTGTAAATCATTCATATTATCCGCAAAAGTTGTAGATTTATTATAAGATTACAACAATCAAAGTACCAACTCTTCGGATCATTATATTTATTTAATATTATATATTTATTCAGTCCTATTAGTCATTCATCCACTATATCGTTATTGGCGTCACGACTTTCACAAATCACTAGACCATTTCTTTTTAGTGCACAATCCAGCTTCTTTTCCCGTTTAAAGTGAGTTCGTCCCACTTTTTGTCACGTAATATCTATGTCATACTATACACGCACTTTTTTCTCCTTTCAATTTCATCTCTTAGTAATATGTCAGTGAATGTTTTGAATAAGTCTTTATATTGTTCTGAATCGTCAATTGCAGCAATTACTATGAGACAGATCATTTATTTTTGTGCCCATCATTATCTCATAATTTTTAAGTATTTATAAAGGTAAATAAATTCTTAAATACCTTCGTCAGCAATCCTGACCTTATTGATTTTACTAGATTCACCTCTAGTTGAAAGTGCTCGGTCAAGCATCCACACCGGACCACATTTAGTACGCGGTGGTTGTTCAGTTTAAATTTTATATACTACGGCACTTAAACCTGTAATCTAAATAAGTATTCACATCTTGTTATTCTTGACCTCCGGATCTATTGGCTTTGGAATCATTGTGTAATAAGATGTTTAGTTCTACTGGTTACGGCTTCCCATTGTCAGTTCAAAAATCTCCTCTGAAAATGTCGCAATAATCAGCATATGAGAAGCCATAATCCGTGCAGCCCAGACATTTATGCGAATCACTTACCTGCCAGTGAAATTAGAAGTTGGTTGCACAATATCGTGAACTAATTACAGTTGGAAATACAAATCATTATATTCCGCCCTAGCAATCTAAAGGTTAATCACTCGCCACAAAACCTGGAGCTCCTAGGTCCGACAAACGGCGAGGTCTTGGATGCACAATGGTGGGTAGTTTCATACTAGGATGAAACAAATGTCCAGTCTTCTGATTTTTAATGATTATCTAACTGAGGACAATCCGTAATGTTAACTACAAAATTTAACGATTTCCAAAAACCCTCTACAGTAAAATAAATAATCAAATACTCATTCAGTATAAACAATTCTGTTGTTGGGAAAAATTACTAATACAACTAATGTGAAGAAAACTCCATGTACATTCAGAGCATTGGAGATACAAAAAGGAGACTGGTTAAAGGCAATGTACTAAGAAGCGAAAACGATATGTTATAAAATATCTAGGTACATACATTAATAAATCTAATCCAATCGCCTACATATATATCACTACATATGTCCAGAATTGATAGAACAATAAGAACCCAATAACACAGTAATCATAACTACAGGTAGATGAAATAATGTTGCTCGAAATAAACGTCTTGCAGCAGCAGAACTTCCATCAGCTACATTTGAATTGGATTTGGCGAATTTCCATGCATAATAAATCAAGCCTATATTAGCTGGCAATGAACCAATGCCTAATGCACAACCAGCCCATGGTCCTAAACTTAGAGCACTGCAACCAGCACCAGCTAAACAAACTAAACTTGATGCTATTGAATAACGTAAAGCAACTCGCTTGCATAAATCCGGATTGATGATAGATGTCATTGCGTAACCAGCTTTGGAATATTCGCTACGCATATTCCAGCTGAGTGCCATAAAGTGTGGAAATTGCCACACATATAACAAACATGCTAGGATTATTGAACCTAAAAAAGAGAAAAAAAACGTGAAAAATACTAATAAATTATAGAACAGGACAGAAACTGTTATAGTTTGTTGTGAAAGGAGAAAACTGAGAACATGCACATCATTATGGAAATACTTGAGGTTAAATAATTAAGCTACAACAGTAAACACGGTGTTATCATTATAACATCTGAGTTTTTTTTCCAACATATACACAATTTTAGACAATCTTTGAAACACGCAAGGTAAGCGTGTGTTCATGGCACCAAAGGAAGAAATGTAGTTTCTAGGAATTTTTCTTGTGGAAGATATTGCTTGACTGGTCCAGAATACTTCGTTAACCTAAATGACATAGTAAACTTCATCAAAAGTTCACATGATAGCACCACTAAACAAGAAGCATGTATACTCACCACATTAAATATCATTTTTGCAAAAGTGGTTTGTGTGAGTTTCCACAAATTAAAAATGGTTTCAACCATCGACTGACATTGGTCGGAAAATCAGTGAAAACAAGTGGCGCTTATAAAGTTTCGTGGCAGTTCAGGATTCCATACTATAATGAAATAGTTATCCACTGATGACATTGGATAATAGCATGATGCAGTGGTGGAAACTGAATAAAGCTAGAAATCGAGTTGTGTTGGGTTATGGATTATTTATTTATTCATTTAAACATATAAACGTTGGTAGAAAGGGGCACCAAATATATATGTACCACAAAAATTATCACCAACTCTATGTGGGCTGAGATATTACTCGGGTTCCCAAACTAGAGCAGGTGGTTTTCTTAGAGGGCCACTCTCCGAGCCTTTAGCCTAGAGATCTAGTCTACAAGAAAGTGGGACAACGTTAGATGTAGTCCCATGGTACCCGGTGACCAAGAATAGGTTTATGCACCGTCTGTTCCTCCAGGACCCTGCAGCCCATGTGCAGCATTAGTTTGCAATCACGGTTTTTCAACTCCCGTAGATGGATCCTTCGTACCTATTAACAAAGTTTAAGCTCTAAAAATTCACTTTTCGTCCTCTCAATTTCGTGAACAATATCCCTGCAGCGAAAAGTGAGTGGGTAGAACTTCCCTAGGAAAGCACCCAACTGCATCACAAGAAAAGCCCTCACATGGAATCCTCAAGGCCAAAGGAAAAGAGGAAAACCAAATAACACATTACGCCGGAAAATGGAGATAGACATGGGAAAAATGAGCAAGAATTGGATGGAATTAGAAAAGAATGCCCAGGACAGAGTGGGTTGGAGGATGCTGGTCGGCGGCTTATGCTCCATTAGGAGTAACAGTCGTAAGTAAGTAAGAACTTCCCTGGCATTGGCTATATACGCATGGCCATACGAAAGCATTTTGATGGAAGAGAGCAGACTTCCCTCACTCTCATCCGTATAAGAGTATTTGGAAGCACCTGACTAGACAACAAAACAGTTTTTTTTAGAGCTTTCTCGATTTCAGTAGCTTTTTAGGAGATATTAATCCGTGAAAAATTAACTATCCAGGTTTTTTCTGTACTAGAAACAGTATTAACACCGGCGTTTTATCTGTCAAACATTTTCATAACTTACTAACGTTAAGCGAAGTGATGACTCTGTATTTGGGCCATTCGACTTTTAGATACTAAGTTTCATGTTCGAATACTAGTAAATCTATTTTCAGCTTGAGCAGTCTCACAGTATCACAAGCCCCCGAATTCAAGTACACGAATCTGTACCTGGGAGACAAGCTAATAATTAAGGAAACTTTAGTTTGATTGTTGTATCTTATATATATATATATATATATATATATATATATATATATATATATATATATATATATATATATATATATATATATATATATATATATATATATATATATATATATATATATATAAAATCTTACCACACTGTAATTGTCCAGTGGCTGCAGCCCAACCCATCAATGGAGGTATAGCACCAACCCAAGCTCCAACCCATGTATTAACCTGACTAATCTGTTTCAATGGTGTATATATACATGTATACAATAACATATTTACAGCAGCCAATGAAGTAACAAGAGGATTTACACCGAAATAAAGCAGTGATAGTCCAGATCCAGTACAAGCCAGTGCAAAAAGAGCTGCTCTGCCGGGTCTAAAAGTTTTGAATAGAATTTAGGAACAAAAACTAGTAGAAAATTTCAAATTACATTCATGTTGTTTGTAAGTAGTAATTTACTAAGATGACCTAGTAAAGTATGGTACTGTAGTGTGAGCTACTTATATTGATGTGAGTAGTATATGACGCGAGTTAAAACGTAATGTCTGGCAGCAGAAGATGAGGGGAAGATCAAAAAAAGGAGAGCGAAAACACAAATGGAATTTGTAAGAAAACACATGAACAATGGATTGGTGTTTGCAACAGAAACAGTCCAGTTTGATTTGATGCGTGAATATTTTGCAAATTGACGATTTACTATATGGTATTCAGATTTTATTGTCCCCACCCGTGTTCTTGTTCACTACAGTACTTTTTATAAGGACTGAAACTGATTGGTTCTTATTGGGGTATGGGCATCCTGAGGGTAACTGCACTTACCCATAAGCTTTTATGAAAGTGTGATCTTGGACGGGAAAATGCTAGTTAGTGACCGTCTGGACTCAGAGGGTAACATATTGAGGGTTCGAAGAGAAAGGTAACGAGTTCCAATCGCAGTGTGAACATCAAAAATGGGCTGCAGTTTCATTCAGCTGACGAGCCCCGAGTGGGAAGAAGCGTACGTTTTAGATTCGTTTGATGGCCAGAACCATGTACTCTATAAAACATGTGACGAAGTGTAACATCGAGTCAATCCGTTCAGGACGTACATATGCGAACACAAACTGATTAATTACAATTTTTAATGTCAATAAAGGGAAAATACAAAGTCTTACAGATAAATGTCCTAACTAATCAATTGCATGGTTTTCCAAACACTAAACATCAAAACTTAATGCATCTAATATTGTGTCATTTAGAATGATGCTCTTACTGTAACTTGATTGATAAAATACAGTTAACATCAAAAGGCTAAACAGATATGACATCCGATTAATCAGTGTGAATATCTCAACCCTATCGTTTAGTCACAACCCGAACAGCCTCGTGGTAACGTCTCTGATGGTGACAATGGGTAATGCGATTTTGAATTCACTAGGGGAGGATTCGTTTCCTTGAAAACAGTAGGCATGTCTTTTTTACCAAGTGACAAATAACACGAAATCTAGATCGAGCAGGGGCTCCTAAAGATTGGCTGTGATCACTTACCAGTATGATTTATCCACAGTCATTACAAAAGTCCTTTGGATAAACCTGACCGAGCGATGCTGAAGATCAGTATGCTAGGATGATATCAATAGTTTGGTTAAATATATAATTTCTGATCACTATCACTCAAGTATTTTGGAATCGTAACATTATGTCCTGTCGCTTTTTCTAAGCTCAAGCTTTTTACAGTCTTTTCAATTTTGTTAAAATTTAAAAGGCTGGTCTCCGCGACCTACTTAGATTATAGGCAAATAATGACCAACCAGAACATGGTTCCAGACTAACTTAGCTCTTTTAGGTATTGATTTCGACGTATCACATGTCTGTTCTGATATGCATCATCTGCGTCATCTGCAGCAACAACCATACTATCTGCAAGTGTAAATGATGGGTGATCAACTAACATCTTTATGTCTATAGTTAGTGTAGGACTGGCAATGAATGAGTCTGTCAGCACGAAATCATAACTGATCGCCAATATC